CTCACCTGCTCATCACCTCCAGCCACAGACTCTGTGTAGCTGCCAACCAGCTGGTGAGAAGCCAGGCCTGGAGGAAAGAGGGTCTTGGCAAGAATGTGGACTAATGGCTCCTGCTGGTCTAGTTCCTCCACAGCAAGCTGTGCTTCTGTCTGGGTTTGCTTAGGCTGCTGTGACAAGACGACCACAGACTGGAACATTTAAACAAGCATAGATTTCTCTGGGTTCTGGGTGACGGGGAGTTCTAGGTCAGAGTGCTGGCATGGCTTCCTCACCTGGTGGGAGAGTTGGGGGGAAGGGGGTGAGGAGATAAGGGGTAGAAGGAAGCAGGCTCTCTCCTGCCTCTTCTGATAAGGGCCCGGATTCCACATCTCTTCATGAAGACTCCAATCCCATGACCCAATTACTTCCCGAAGTCCCATTTCCAGAAGTCAGCACCTTGAAGATGAGAGTTTCCACATGGGAATCCTGGGGGACCCAGACATGCAACTCACAGCAGTCCCCATTAAACACTGTGTAAGATTAGAGGCCACTGTGGGGTCACCAGGGACCTGGCTGACAAAGAGGGGTCGGACTATCTGGCCACAGCGTCTGTGAGTGTGGAATGGAGAGGAGAGGCCTCAAGTCCTCAGGGCCTGGCTCAAGGAGCTCTCCCAGGAGGACATCCCGAGCATTTCTAGGTTTCTGTCTCTTGGGACAGGAAAAGAAAACTGGCCTTGCCTTCCCATGGTGCAGGCATAGAAACCTTAGAACTGGCAACTTTCTCATGGTGATTGCACCTCCTGGAGTAGGGATTTGGGGTGATGGAGGCTCCTGAACCAGAAGCCTGAGCAAGGCGTGCTTGGCACAGGGCAACCTGGTCCCAGATTGTTGATCCTCCCCAGATGTGGCCAGACTGCCCAGGGCTGCTCATTGCACTATTCATCTCCTGCCCTTCTTCCCTCCCAGCAGGAGGCACCATCAGGTGTACAAGGCCCAGGTCTTGCCTTCAGAGTGCTGGCCTCAGCAAGGCCCAGCCTCAGTTTACCACCAGAGGATGTCTGTCCCTTCTGTGAAGGGCATCTTGGTCACTGACTTAATCACCCTGACTTCTCTCTCTGCTTAGGCTTTTGGGTTCCAGTCTGAGGATATAGGCAATCATATCTTCCTTCAAAGTGATTTCTGTCTCTAGTAATCAGATTACACCTGTACCTACAAAAGAGGCAGAGGCGACTCACCAACTGTTCCCCACACAGAAGTGGAGGAGACCTGGAGAGAAAGTTCAAGCGCTGGGGACCAGGACAGATAAGCCTGAGGTGGCCAGGCTGGCAAACAGGAAGCCTAAGGGTGAGGAGACATGATCAGTGCCTGGTGCCCAGGCACCTGTGGACCTGCCGGAGTGGCTCCTCTGTCAGGTGGTCCTGAGTGGCTGCTTTGTCTCTGCGGGAGCCAAGGGCCTGCACCCAGCTTTGTGTCCCAGGCTGGGAGAAAGAGGGCGTTGGGCACCGCGCTGAACACCGTCTGTGGGCGCGAATCCGTAAGTGCCGCGGGGACCCTGGCAGAGCTCCTGGCTTGTAGGCGGACAGCTGAAAAGTCCCAAGCAGGAGGCTTTCCAGAAAGTCGCCGGGGAAAATGTGGTGCAGGGTCGCACTCTTCTGGGTGAAGTGTAGGGGAGGGAGCCCCGTGTAGCCGAGACAGAGACATGAGATCACCCCCGAGATTTGTGGGGGACACAGGCTGGCAGGAGACCCGCTCCTGCGGGGTGGGCGGGACGCAGGCTGGTCGCAGGCTGGTCGCGTGCAGCCGGGAGAGGGGTTTCCTTCTGGGGGGGCCAAGGGGGAGGGGGCTTGGCCGCCGGGTCTCGGAATGGGAGCGGCGCTGACACCCCCGTTTCACTGTAGCTTTGCAGGTTTTTTCTATGACCCCAATATACAACCCTCTTGAGATAAGTGCTGACAGTTGAATGGCAGCTACCCACACTCATGCGACCAAGGGGCTGTAGTTTTAAGTACCCGCCAACGGCGCATCTCCTGCCCCATCCTCTCCCCAGTGTGGAAGAGAGTGGAGCGTCAAGGTCTGCTCGGCCAAGTTCAGTCCCAACCCTCTACAGTCGGTCATGTATCTCCTCAGTGGGCCCTGTTAGTTCTTCCTTGGAACCCAGAAGAGTAGGTCTAGTCCCCCCACCCCCAACCACCAGGAGGAGGTGAATTGGAGCCTAAGCAGGGTCGGCCTCCCTGGGGCATCCCAGACAGAGATCTGGGCTCCCGTGGGGACCAGAAGGACACAAGGACAGTTGTCTCAGTGCAGGTGAGTTCAAGAAACTGGGAGGGGAGGAGGGAGCAGAGCCCAGAGGCTGATTGGAGCCCTCTGGCCTCTGGTTTGCATTGGTTGCACCTGGGTAAGGAGCCTGGGAAGAGAACAGGGAGGCCCGCCACCGGATTTGCTCTGGAAAATCTTCATCACTTCAGGCGTGGGTGTGACTGGGACACACAGAGACTTCCTGATGGCACCCAAAAGCACCCATGTGGTTTAAACCCTGACAGCTTTACCAGGGACCTCAGGGTGTCGCCTGCAGAAGGCCCAATGCCGGGCTCAGCGTCCCACAGTCCTTCACCCTGAGAGAGATGACCCAATGAGAGGACCGTTCTGAGGGACCTATGGCCGTTCTCAACGACCACTGTCGGGATCGTCTAGTAAGGATCTGCCTACCCATCTTGTTAAGCCAGATGTGTATGACCTGAGGTCAGAGGAGAGGGGCAGGGAGTGTCTGGCTTTCTGTCATACCTCACATAGTGTGTCAGGGACACTGTCCATCTTAGCACATCTCAGTCTGACGTGTCCTGCCTTTCCACAACGGCTCTACTTCCTTGTCGAGGGGACCTTTTGCCTCACGGCTACCTTGGTGTTAAGGGCTCTGCCATGGAAGATTTCCAATCCCGAAAAATCTGCGTTCGTTTTATATGCTTTTCATTATCAAGGCAGGAAACCTTAAGTGTGTCCTCAGTAATGGATGAGACCATCTCTCAGCATCAACACTGGCTTATTTGCATTGACCTTATCAGTCAATATCACGGCCTTTTAATTAACATAGCCAATGAATAATGTATCAGAGCTTAGCTTGAAGCTGCAAATATGTTTTCAGACAGAAATATTCCAGGAATGCAAGTCAGGTGTATTTCCCAGATAAGCAACAGTCGGGGGGGCTTGCGTACAGGGCAATTCTCCGTTCTCACGGAAATTCTGGGTTCTCAGGTTTCCTGAGGTCGAGACCCAACGCGCGCGTCATTAATCATTCATGGGGGTCTGTCCCCCATCCACGGCAGCCCTGAAGAGGCTAAGTGAGCACTGGGCTAATTCTTCCTGCCACGGGGACCCTGGGACGACAGAGGGCAATTGGGCGCTTGGTCCCACGCGCGGGTGCCTGTTCAGTCCCTCTCCCGGGTCCAGCGCCGACGCGTTGCGCTCACCCCCGCGACGCACGCCAGAGCTGCCCAAGGGAGAAGCGTTCGGCACAGCCTTCAGCGCGAGCGAGTTTCCAAGAAGACATCAGCTCTCGTCGTGGCATGATGACTCAGGGTGTCGTTCCTAACGCGAAACACACCCATCCTTGAGCCCTTTACTAAATCAATAACAATAACGGCCTCCCCATCCGCTCCGCGCCGAAGGCTTCCCAAGTTGGGTTGCGGATCCCTGCGTGGGTTTCCACAGCCGAAAACACTCGAAGCGGGATCTCCCGGCGGGACGCGGTTCCCCCCAAGGCCCCCTGGGAAGGAGACGAGACAGCAGGTTCTGCTGGGCAGAGAGAAGGGACCTGGAAACCATGTCCCGGGTGGGCAGGAGCGCTCGGTGGGGACGCCGGTGTGCCCTAGAGGCTGGAGGGGACGAGGACGCGTCTTCACGCTCCAACCCGCTTTCCTATCGCTGTCCCGGGAGGCCCAGCCCCTGGCGCGGAGCTGGATGCGCCGGCTTGGGC